ATGTTCATCCACCATGCTAAATGCTCGTACACGGAAAGTGCAGGGCGTGGCAGGTACGACGCTCGGCTTTACACACTATCTTAGCTCACAATTTGGTTGTTAATAATTGTTGACTGTCGCTTCAGACAACAAACGAGCGTCAAGTAAGCAATTTTTATTATCTAGATTTGGTGTAGTGTCAGTATTGAGACCGGAAGTTGCTTACCAGGAACGTAACCGTCAACAGACGAAAGGACTTTAGCCGGAGTCTGTCCGTTAACCCCGTACTTACCGACCTGGAAACGGTACGCGCACTGCGCATCATTCGGGGTGTTATACTGCGCAGCGCGCAGGATCATTCCCGTCGCGGAGGTCGTGGTGAACGGGAGAGCGGTGCGGTTCAGGACGACATGATCAACGAACTGGTTGGTGGTGTGGACGCCGGAATGCCGATATTTGTACCATCGTCCGGCAAACTTAAATTTAAAACGGTTTTTATGAACAGCTGAGGGCAAAATAAGTGTTGCAATTACATACGCGAGACGCATCGGGAATGGGCACCGTATTGACAACAACGGGAATTCCGCAGCCTTTAGCGGTCGTCCATGGCCGCACCCGGACATTTGGGAGTGTGACATTTCGCCGCAATTAAATCCGACGCACGACTTTTCGCCGCGAAGACATTTCGCCGCGGGACATTCTGACGCGGGACATTCTGACGCATCGACACTTCGGTTTGGGACAATTTGCACTGAGACATTTTAACTTTGCGACTTTTTGACGCAAGACGTCTGGTCGCAGACACTTCGCCGCAAAAGAGTTGACACGCTTAATTTTCCGGGTTACTTGTAAGGTTTTCTTAGGATTTTTAGATTTCTTAGGTTTCTTAGGTTTCTTAGGTTTCTTAGGTTTCTTAGGTTTCTTTGGTTTCTTTGGTTTCTTTGGTTCCTTGGGTTTCTTAGGTTTCTTAGGCTTCTTTGATTTCTTAGGTTTTTAGATTTCTTGGGTTTTTTAGATTTTTTGGGTTTCTTAGGTTTCTTAGGTTTTTTGGGTTTCTAAGGTTTCTTAGGTTGTTATCTTCAGTGTTCCTGAATTATTTTTAGGTGTTCCTAGACTGTTTCGATTGGCCTGATTGAAAGTTTGTCTGCTAAAGTGGACTTTTCGTCGAAACAGCCTCGCGGCGAAATGTATCGGCGTCTAAACGGCCTTGCGACGAAATGTCTCAAGGTGTGATGTCCAGCCGACTAAATGTCCCGCGACGAAACGCCGCGAGATGACCTCGCGGCGAAATGTCTGCGACCAAAAGTCCTGCGACGAGTTGTCGGCGGCGAAATGTCGCGGTGCCTCGATGGCGACGATGGGGATTGCGCATATTGTCCTTGCGCAATTACCAACGCCAGAAATAATCCAGCTGGAAAAGCACGCGATTATGAGCTTTCATTCCTGCTTTGTATTTTTTCGCATTAGAACTGTCTGCTTTATGCTGTAGAACAAATTCCGCGCATCGGTTCACCTCAAAAAGCGACTAACTAAATACCTAATTAAAATGGAAATACCTTCAAAAACAAGACAGTTAATAGCTAATTGTTTGATATATGCTTAAGGTTAACAACTACAAAATATTCCGAAATAATTCTACAAATATGAGCAAATATTAATAAATGTCGAGATAACCAAAAATAGTTAGACAGGAAAAGTTCTTACCAATGAGGAAACTTCTCGTTATCATTATCGTAGGCTGTGTCAATAAGAGTACTGCACGAACCCTGGAACCAGCCGACTGTAGTCAGTCGATAATAAATTTAGAAGCTTATTCAGTGTGGAGAAAACGATGGACTGCTTGCGAATGATAAAGAACGTTTGCGATCACCAACGTTTTTCGTTCGCGCAACATGATGTTACGGTTATAAAATTATCCGCAAGGGATATTCATCTATTACGATTTAATGGATTAACTGGTCGAAGGTCGATTGGTCCATTAATTGGCTGGTTTTGTCTTGCTTAATTGGTCGAAGACGGCGTATTAAGTCCGTCAGTTCGTTTGTATGGTTCTAACACAGTGATACGGCATGGCAGTTGAAGAAGTAATTGGTCCGCAGAAACAGCATACTAAATAGGCGGCGAAGAAATGCAAAGTATCTGTAAATATTGGAACACATGAAGTGCAGTGGTTTCAGAAACTGGCAGCTGTCTCGTTCGCAACCGTCTCGCTCGCTGACTCGTTATACTATGCCGGCACTGATAAATCGTTACATCTGGGAAATCTGTATCAGTAAATGTATCTGGGGAAGTTCACGAGAACTTTCTCTTTCACGCACCCTCAAGCGCATTTTAACATTTCTTCATGGCATTATGCAGCCAGATGATCTGTATGTATGCACTGCCGTGAAAACCGTTTGTCCGTGCAAAATCCGACTAGGGAAATATGCGTAAAATAAAATTTTAAAATGTTTAACTCAAGGCAGGTGTTCCAGAAGTCATATCACGAAACCGATCTTCGTTAGCAATTACGCGGATACAGAAAAATTCTGCACTTGACCACGGCAATTTACCAAATTTACAGTGATTTATGGACGACTAATAACAAGGAAAACAAGCGAGTTATAAATGTTTCATGTTTAAGTTTTCGGACTCGTCCGTACATGTTGAAAAACATCCCCACCTGCTACGCGTGCCGATGACTGTAATTTCTGTAAAGTTTCTATTAGACCGGTTTGATTGGTGCTTCTAAATAAAGTTGTTTTCCAACGATCGACGAACTTGACTACCTAATGGCTAGACAAACGATGTCTGCACTTGATGTTCTAAGTGTTTTTGCGATGTTGCAACGTTTTTTAAAAGGACATAATTATTATATGCTCAGCAAGTTGATGCTTTGCTAGTATATGTACTTCAATTATGCTGTACTGTACGGTGTGTACGCTATATACGGTGTGTACGCAACTGCATTGTATATGTACGGTATTGTACTGTACTGTATCTTATGCTATAATATTGTGCATGTACAATAGTCTGTTTCTACTTCCCGAAGCAAAATTATGAAACGTTGCAGACGTTGTACCAGCAATTATGACAATCTAAAAGCTGACGTCGGCTGACATTTAAAAATAGTCAAGTCCACCGGTCGTCGAAAACAATCAAGCATTCAGACGCATCAATCACACGGGTCTAGTGAAATTGTGTAGAAAGTAATAAACATTACAGAAACACATTCACGGTGATTTCAGCCTGGTTTCTATCCGTTAAATTACAGAAAAGCGCCCCGGAAGATTTTACTTGTGCATTAATCACTGTTTCAAAATGCGCTACCGTGTATTGACAATTTTCGTTAAATGCACAAGCGACGTCAATTAATACATAATGCCAAAACACTGAAATGCATAAAGCTGCTCCGAAAAGGTTAACCGCACTAGACCCCAGATCTTTACCGGCAAATAAGGCTTCTCTTATCCATGATACCAGAAATAAGACCCTTAATCTATAGTTTATTTCATTCAGAACAAAAAGAAAAATTTTTATATCTACTTTGTAACAAAATACGCGTTTCATCTGTAAATAATGTAATACACGCCACTTGCCCTTTCGTCTTTGATTTAACGTCATAGTATTATTAATAATTATTTTTGCTGATTGATTGGTTAATTTCTTATATGTATTAGCTTCCTCCTCGTAGCTGTGATGATTACCAGAGGGTTTTTTGCCGACATGCCTGTTTTCCTTGCGTTATCATTGTTTTTTCATACTCCACTTGTAATTTGAACAATTTTTAACCAACGAGAGGATTACGTTACCGAAGTACAGCCTTAACCAGGCTACATGCTCTGGAGAAATAGATTTCTATCCTTCCTTCCGGTAGACAGAAAAAGCAGTCTGCAGCGCTGTCTTTTGCGAACCACAAGGGCTCTGTTTCGCAATTGATGGTTACAAGTAACGCTAAAATACCGGTACTACAATCTGGGAAAGTTGTTATCAAACTTCTTCACGTTTTCATCATCTTTGAGAATATATAATGGAAAGAAAAGCAATGGGAATGACAGCTTCGTGTTTGGGTTTAAGCACTCATGCCAGGCCAGTTTCCAATGTTTTGACTCGCGGACTGCCGCCGGTAACATAGGTGATTCGGCTGGCCATCGTCTGCAGGGCCGCACGTTGCCCAGGTGAGATTCCCGTGACTATGTTGCCCAGACAATGTTTTGAGCGTCAGGAGAATTCCCGCCTCAGTAGCACAGGGAACGGTCGCAGACATATGCTCAGACAGAAACGTAATTAGTCTCTTAGGATCCCCAGTATCATCGGTGACGACGGTGAGCAAAGTTTATGAAACGAAGGTAAAGCAGGCGTACCAGGCAAATGCAAGTCACTTGTTGCCTGGTGATAAAAGGTTGCAAACCCGTTTTGGGAAGGAAATGTAAGTTAAACGGGGCTTTTTGAAGAAGCGAAATATATAGATGATGTAGATGTAAGCAGCAAAGTGGTCTAAGTCGGAGTCAGAGGTTGTGCGGGGCCGTAAAACGCAATGAAACGAGGTACTGCTGATTCTGCAGTACCCCAATGCTATTCGCCACAGTTTTTTTTTGGCACAGTAAAAACGTAAAAGAAACTTTTTAGCATGGAGCAAAGATTTTATTAAAATAGCTTCTTTCTACGAATAAGGTGTTAAGCGAAATGAATATGTATACCAAATGACCGCATTCGTACGCTACGGTACATCCTAACGAGCTCGTGAGCTCGTAATGCTATACAAGCTCACAATCACTTTATATTATGATTGTGAGCTCGTATAGCGTGTTGCATTATGAATGTGGAATGTGGGTGTACTGTTTAAAATTTTCAGTTCGCGGCTCACAGTAAAACAAAAAGCTTCCGCTCTGTGATAACTGCTTCACTTCCTGGGGCTGCCATACATATCATTGTCGGAGTGGCCAAACTGAAATGCATCTGGTAGTCATCCTATACATAATCATACTTGGGAACGGCGGCCCGAATGTCGTTATCGCAACCCTCATCTGACGACGATATCAGGCTGCATTAACAGTGATTCATACCGCTGCATTTACTAGGTGCAAAACGCTGTGTTCTGTTTCACACTGCCTAGAGCTGTATGATTCACAAACGGATGTTCCTTCTTGCGAGAGACTTAATAATATTTCTTTACGTGTCTGCTGTACTGCATTAACAGTCACAACTTGCTATCCTTTTTTATGTACTTATTTTGTTTATTGAAAAAGCGAGGACATCGCTTGCAAATCAGCCAATTTCTTTCCAGCCATGGCTGCGGCGATTCGTGCGCATGTTGACGGTGAAATCTGCCACCATCTTATTCTGCAACTTCACCTCACTGATTACCGGCCACCATTCGAATACACTATGGGAAGAGTTTTAGGAAGAGGCGCATTAAGCCGCGGCGTATATTTAGCCACAGCCAAGATTTCCAGAAGGCAGTTCGCAGTCAAACGGATCCAATTGACGTCATCGAGCGTCAACGAACTTCTCCGGGAAAGCGTACAAGAATTCAAGGCAGTCGTGGCCAACAACGCTCATCCGCATACAAATGTTGTCCGGTATTATTATATGGACATCGCGTATTTTGATAACGCACCGGAAGTCTGCATTTTCATGGAATATTGTGAAGGTAGTTAACACGGTTAAATTTTAAGCAAAAGTAGAAGTTCTTCAAAAATTTTATTCTTTTTATTTCATTACAAATTATAAGTTAAGTAAAATCTCCTTTTTTGAGCGTATTAATATCAATATAACTTTATTTATTTCATAATTATACGTTTTTTTATTTGATTTTAAATTGATTTTATTAACTTGCATTTCCGTTTTTTACATCAATTAATTTATTTATTTTACATCTAGTTATTTTAATTTATTTCTAGGCGGCACTTTGGAGCATAAAAACGATGAACTCAACGCAGCTGGCAAGCGGTATAAACAAGCTGACATCGTTCGGGATTTAACTGGCATCTTAAAAGGCATCGAATACCTGCACAAGAACGGAAAAGCGCACCGCGATTTAAAGCCGGCAAATATCCTTTTTGACGCCGACGGCACCCCAAAAATCGCGGACTTCGGCCTGATGATTCAGCTGCAAAATTCCGTTACCCGAAAGAACGAGCTGCCTCGCGGAGAGGGAACTCTTCTGTACGCAGCACCGGAAGTGTTCAACCAGGCTTTTGGTAATCTTGGTCGTGCCTGCGATATCTGGGCGTTGGGATGCATTCTGCTGGAGATGTTACAAGGACACGACCTGTATTACAAGCGCAAAGACGGGAGCGGAAAGCTAGTGAACTTGGCAACGACAAGTGAGATCATTGCGGCGCTGTCCAATGGCACTAAACCGTATTACACCAAAGACTTCGGACGACAGGGTTGTGGCGACACGCGGCAGTTTCTGGATGCAGCTGCAAATTTTTTGGAGCAATGCTTTCATAGTCATCCAAGTAATCGGTCATCGGCGCACATGCTGCTGAATCATCCATTGATTCAGGTAATTGTGGCACACTGTTAATCGTAACACTGGAGCCTTTTGTGACATGCATTTCAATGCATGTCATGTGTGTCAAAATGACTCATGCATCAGCGGCATGACTGTTCCTAAAGCAACACTTTTTATATTACTGTTGTAGCAGGCAGTACATTAATATTATGTAACTAAAGAAACCGAGTGAAATAATCAATTTAAAAATTATTTATTGCCAATAAAATTGCATTACTGTATTGTTGATCTTACAGGGAAAATCGCCAACGAGTTCCAGCAACAGCAGTGACAGTGGCATTTCCAGCGAACTTGAGAACCGTCTTAAACTGAACGTCGATAACCAGTAAGAGCTTCATTTGCAACGTTTCTACAAAAAAATCAGTTTACCATTTGCACATAGCGAAATCATTCTGTCATTCATACCTGAAGATGTGATAATTATTTATAGTGGTTATAAATTTTTTTCAAATTAACGGGAATTTATTTTTAGCGTGCTGTATCACGTGCATCCGAAACCACATTCCCCGGCAGAGCTGCATGCGCGTCACGCCGATCCATCGCCGCTTTTTCACAGGCACCATTCCAGACTGGATACAAGCGATGAAGCACCCTTCGTAACGCCCGCAGCTTTCATGCTTTTCCCTAGCTCGTTTCCGGTCACTTCGCCGCCAGTACTGCACGCTGCACACTCGCCAACCTCCTTTCCGAAAAGTCTGTTCACGGGGCCGCCGGTGGGTTCTGCAATGCCTCATAATGTGCCAGTGGAAATGCTGTTTGGGGACGTTCCAATTGGCCGACATGGATGCTGCAGAAAAGTGCCGCGGTCGCCGTTTAACTCTTAGTTGATGCAATGAGGCCTTACACTTAAAGTGCTGCTTCAGTGCTTCCAACAGCGGTTATTTGTTGTTATTGGTTATACCATGGATTAGCATGCTGCTTCAAAGTGCTTCGTTGTATAATTTGTTATGTAGAAAATATTTTTATTCGGCAATAATGTACATACTACATATACTTGTGTTCGGTACAACTAATTTCGAGCTTGTGGCCGCTTTACATGTTGTTTTCCAAATCACAGAATTAAATGCACTCACTGTATTTGAAACCGTTTGCAATAAAAAAATAAATTTCAATAAAATAACTTTTATTCCGTTATTTTCAAGTCGAGAAGACCTTTGAAGTTTGAGTTTATTGTGGTGCGCAGTCCGATCAATAAAAACGTACGTAGCATTCATAGACCCTGATAGCTAGGATACGATATGTAACTTCTTTATTTAAAACAATGGAGATTTCCTGAAGCAGTTAAAAATTACAGATGCTTTTTTAAGCTTTAAACGTCAGTTCAAATCCAGTTTATTTCAAGCTGTTCCAATACAGTTCGTACAGTATCACCCGAAAACTTTGAACTTCGATCATGTACTGGATGTCATACTAGGGGGATGCCGGATGCGCATCGGTGCAACTAGTTACTACGCTGCAGTGGACCATAGCCGGCGTAGCGAATCCGGCTCAACACCCCACGATGTTCTAATCCAATTTGCCGAGATCATTAATTTTTGTAAACATGACAATCTGAATGAACTAGGAGACCTACTTTAACTGTTTTCCTTGCTTCGCTTTTTTCTTTATGTTCAAGTTTTTTTCTTTATTGACATTATGAACGCAACATCCCTTTATTTTCGCCAGCTCTTCTTAAACACCCGCGTGTTGAACTACGGGAATACGGTGCTGGTGCAGCGCTACAATGGCCAATGGTGGCTGGGATACGTTCAGGATATTGACGGCGATTACTTCTTCATTGACTTCGATGCCAGCACAATCACTGCCCAGTGGATCCATAGCAGCCGCTTGTGGCCGCATCATTTCCTTTACCGAATTTTAGGGCATTCACGTCAAGGCGAATCGGTGTACGTAGCACTACGTGAAACCAATGGCGGCCCAATGGTTTTTCATGACGCTACTGTTGTTGAAGACAGGAACGATGAATTTTACACAGTGCTCCTGGATGATGTAGACCCTACCGAAATCAATCCGTCTCCTACGGCTTGTCATATCTTGCTGCGGAATCACATGACTAAAGAGTTACCGGATCCTGACGATGGCAAATGTTTTTTCGGCCGTACCACGGGGTTCCTGTACAAAAAATATGTCGTCGGCTTTCCCCAAGCAAGCTTGTTGCCCGACGTGGATTGCATCATACCGTTTCTTGCCCGTACATGCCATCTGACGTGGGAATGGTATGATGGAGAGTGTGATTCGGAGTGTCAGTTTAGGTATTCACTTTGCGAGGACCAAATGGAGTTCAGCTGCATGGAAAAGCACGCACAGAACTGTGGGTACTACGAAATAGTAGTCGGCTGTAGAGTGTTCGTGCGACTGGGTTCCGATACGGTCACATTTATCTGCGCGGAAATGCACTTGGACCGCAACGGTCGGAGTATGTTCTGGACTAACGATGCCCTGAAGAAAGCTTGCGAGTACTATTTCGCACAGAGAACTCTGGCGCCGCCGGTTAGCGTGGGCATAATTGCGTGCGGTGAGCGCCAGTTTGGTAAGGGTGAGGTTGTGTGCTTGTAGAGGCGACCTTTCCCCTTTTCGCCAGTAAATTACAAAGATAACGTCTCTTACAAATTGTAATACACTTTAATCTTAACATATCTCAACACTAGCAAAAAAACTGCAGTTAATAACGTAACACGGCATACTCTTCCAAATAATGTCTTGACGCCCCACAAATGTATTCGCCAGTGGTGCCCCGTTTGCTGAATGACTCCCAACAAGTAGAAAAAAAAGAACAACCCACTTTTTGCAGATACGGCGGATATATCGATTAATGAACTTTCTCATCCAGTTATGGGTGGGATACTGTGTTATCTCGATGTGGATTCCCAGTTTCGAGCGAGCAGGTAACTTTCAATATTATTATCATGTTCGATACTAATCCGCTTGTAAAACTTACCAGTAAACGTTGGATTGTATCGTAGCGTACGATGGCGATAGTGAAATTTCATTAAATTTTAGCTTCGGTAAGTCAACAATACTTCTGGGCCCACTTCTTTATTAAGATAAGGCGATAGTTATACTTATGGCAACTGGTTGACGGCAACACATGCAAATTCTTCTGACCTCATTCGGGATAACTGGTGCCATAAAACCAGTTTTTTCGATTCAGACCTTTGGAGTACCTTTGGTTTTGACTCTTGCATTCGTCGTTATCAGAGTATGTGCGCTGTGGAAAATGCTGTGCGGCCAGTATGTGGACAACCGAAGCATCTTTATTGACCTGGGTGCAGCGTGCCAAAACCAACTACCGAATTGCGACTTGATGATCGAATACGAATACCTTACGTATAAACTGGTCAACATGCTACAGCGCTTAATCACCAAACGCACCCACACGCTGGCGTTTGCGGAGAATCGAACATGTCAGGGTTATCCGGCGCTTAGTCTAGAAATGATTATTTCGGCGATCATTACAGTGGTGCAGGCCACACCCTTCCGTCTGCCCTACATCATTGTGAAGGACGGCCGGGATAGCCTGGAGAACCGGGATAATGCATTTGCTTCCGAATCCTTCCTGACAATCTTCCGCAGTTCCCGCACTGGCTGTTTCCAGTGCGCCGCGCTGTCGCAACTGATGAGCTTTTGCGATCAATTGGTGCTGATTAATTTCGCCGCTTCGTCAGCACTCGTCGAATCAGCGGAGCAAATATTGCTGGCCGATGACGAATCCCAGCTACCGGAGTCCGAACTAGCCTTTTGTCGCAATCACCCGTCAGATGACTTGGGAATCAACATTCCGCTTCTGCGCTTTCATTCCACGGAAACAGCCGCGGAGCACTGCCGAGTGTTGCTCGCAGCCGCTAACGATCATTGTCCGGCCGTCAGTCAGCGAGTCTACGAAAAGATCACAGCCCTGCATAAACGTTGGATGCGGACGGTGAGCTATCCGGAACAGTGGAACGGTATACGAAGTTTTTTGCAACTGTAAGTGGCGCGCTCGTACACACGTGTGTAACCGGAAAATCGTCCGGACGGATGAACCGTCCACCGGACGCTTTTGCCTGTAAGCCGGCAAAACCGTCCGGCGGTCCAAGAAAACGTCCGCCGTGAATTTTGCCCACCCAGTTTTTTCTGCTCTATTCGATCTTGTGGACATCCCGGACTGTATATTCGGGGGCGGACGGTTTTGCCGGCTTACAGGCAAAAGCGTCCGGCGGACGGTTCATCCGTCCGGACGATTTTGCCGGTTACAGTCGCCCTTAGTGGCGGCTGATATGCGGATCTTATGGAATTGATAAGTCTCATGGCCATTCTTCCTCTGTTCTGTTTTTCTCTTGTTTGGCAATCAACTAATCTTTTGTGAGGAACCCGTTCCCCACAGCTTGGGGATAATTTTTCCTATCGAGACTGTACTAGACCAATTTCGTTATGTTATGGAATGCTTTGATTATTAGGTTCAACTGCCTTTGCCGGGATGACAATTCACAACGGTGGGACGCGCTAGATCTCCGAGAACTCGACATTGCTTCTTTAACCAATGTGACCTTCGCAGTCCTGGATGCGTGGTACTACGACTGAAGCTGATAGGAATTCAATGGGCTTCTTTACATGACGACAGCTAGAAAAGTAGACTGACTCGGGCACTGGCCACGGCAATGTATCGGCAGCTGACGTTTTCACACAGAAGTAACCTCCACCTTATAGCACAATCGGCCAAAGGACTGTCGTTCTAGGATCCGGACACTTTATGAGCATCGTCTGTTTGCATAAACTCGCAATACCAGAAAGTTTAGTTCGCTTCGTCGAAATTTTGAAATTTTGTATTATTTTGTCTTCCCGCTCTCGTGCGTAACCTGAAAGATTTTGACCGGCGTTCTGTTGCTGTTCCAGTTATTTTAACGATACTGCTTAGGGTAAAAAGCTCAAGCGTTTTCTTTCGTAATCAGGACACTTCAGTAAACAACAAACACTGTAAACAATAACCTCTGGCAATAAACTGTGGCTGTGCGATTACTTATACGGAACCGATATGGACCCTGTGCAACTGCAAGGGTAAATCGCTACTTGTTCCAGACCGATTTATACGTGTACTCAATGAAGGTACATATTAGCAAAACAATTTTCTCTAATAATGACGCAGTGTTCGGTCTGCGATATTGACAAATCAGTTCGTATATCAAAACACACAAGAAGGGAAATACATAAATACGGCTGTTGATAACCGTATTGAACGCAGATTTATTTAAAACATAGCATTTGCCCAGAGCGAAGATGCAGGTTGGAATCGGATAAGATTTGACGTTACCCGAACGGTCCAGTGTGCGGACTGCGGACCGCTACGTTAAGTGAATGAGCGATGATCGTATAAATGGACCACTTAAATAATAAATTGCACAAACTGATCCTTTTTATTTTCTTCGTCTGATTAAATAGGATGTACCCTTTACTTTACAGATTACCATAATTTAAAGGCACAGCTGAACCGCAACTGCGCCGTAAAAGATCAGTGCCGAAATCGCTTTAGCCAACCCCGCAGTGGCACAGAGACGACTGCAGACTACAAAATTTTCTGATTTCCATACTGTGCTTTGTCAGTGTCAGTGTTTAAGCTCTTTCCCGTGCTTTGTTTTTTTCTGTCAACCAAAGTTTAAATCTCCGCTGCTATTATGAATGCAACATCACTTTATTTCCGTCAGCTTTTCTCAAACGCACGGGTACTGAACTACGGGAACACGGTGCTGGTCCAGCGCTACAATGGCCAATGGTGGCTGGGATACGTCCAGAATATTGACGGCGATTACTTCTTCGTTGATTTCGATGCCAGCTCAATCAATGCCCAATGGATTCACTGCAGCCGCTTGTGGCCGCATCATTTCCTCACGCGATGGGAGGATGGGTCGCGTGAAGGCGAACTAGTGTACGTAGCGCTGCGCGAAACCGATGGGGACCCCATGGTTTTCTATGAGGCCATAGTTGTCGATGATGGGAACGATCAGTTTTACACAGTCGTATTGGATGATCCCGATTCTGAAAAAAGCAATCCGCCGTCTCCCAGGTGCCGTATCGTGCTGCGGAATCATATGACAGAAGAG